AATATTTTCACATGGATTTAGTGTTCTAAATATTCTTGGTCGACTTGGCAGGTCCTGAACTGTAGCTCTGTTGTGTTATTCCTTTTCTCAAAACCCTTGGCACATTAAGTACAGGTACTTTGGGCAGCATGTAAAGTTGCACTTCTGTGACTTCAACTTTAATTTCCATGCCCCCATTATCTTTTTTTAAATTAATTTTTATTGAATCATTGTGAGTTACAGTTACAAAGCTTTCATGTTTGAGCTTCAGTATATGATTGAACACCCATCCCTCCACCAGTGTACATTTTCCACCACCAATGTCCTCAGTACCCCTCCCCCCTGCCTCTATGACAACTTCCCTCTTCCTCTCTCTCTACTTGTGGGTCTTAGGTTTGCAGTACAGATAATGAGAGGCCATCCAGTTTGGTCCTTGATCTACTTTCAGCACACATCTCCCATCCCGAATGATTCCCTCCAACCATCATTGACTTAGTGATCCCTTTTCTATCCCTGCTGCCTTCTCCCCCAGCTCATAAAGTAGGCTTCCAACTACGGATCAATCTCCCTGGCCTTTGTCTCTACTCTATCTGGGTGTTAGTCTCATATTATGATATTTTTTATTCCACAAATGAAAAAAGTCGTTCTGTGTCTGTCCCTTTCTTTTTGGCTCATTTCATTTAGGATGGCACTCTCCATGACCATCCACTTATAAGTAAATCTCATTATTTCATCTTTCCTAACAACTTCATAGTACTCCATTGTGTAGATGTACCAAAGTTTCTTTAACCAGTTGTCTATTCTCAGGCACTTGGGTTGTTTCCAGATTCTGGCAGTGCAGCAATGAACGTACAGGTGCAATGTCATTTCTACTGTGCTTTTTTTTGACCTTCGGGATATATTCCCGGAAGTGGTATTGGTGGGTCAAATGGGAGCTCGACTAAATTGTTTTCCAAAAAGGCTGGACCAGTCGGCATTCCCACCAACAATGAAGGAGAGTCCCTTTCTCCCCACATCCACACCAACACCGGTTGCTTTTGTTCTTTTGGATGTATGCCAGTCTCTGTGGTGTGAGATGATACCTCACTGTTGTTTTGATCTGCACCTCCATGATGATTAGTGATGAAGAGCATTTTTTCATGTGCCTTTTGGCCATTCGGATTTCTTCTTTGAGAAAGTTTCTGTTCATTTCATGGCCCCATTTTCTGATGCAACTGGATATTTTCTTCTTATAGAGTTCAACCAGTTCCTTGTATATCCTTTATATTAACCCCATATCAGAAGAGTGTTGGGTGATATTCTTTTCTCATTTTAGGCTGTCTTTGTATCCTGGTCACTGTTTCTTTTGAGGTGCAGAACTTTTTTAGCTTAAGAGAGTTCCATTTGTTTATCTCTGTTTACACTTGCTTGGTCAGTGGTGTTACATCTTTGAAGATACCTTTAGCTTCAGTGTTATGGAGGGTTTTGCCAAGCTTTTCTTCAGTGTACTTTATGGATTCTGGTCTGATGTTGAGGTCTTTAATCCATTTTGATATGACTTTTTTGCATGGTATTAGGTAGAGGTCTGAGCCCGTTTTTTTGCCTGTTGCTGTCTAGTTTGCCAGCACCATTTGTTAAAGAGGGTTTCCTTGCTCCACTTTATATTTCATGCTCCATTATCAAAGATTAGATGATCATGTATTTGAGGACGTGTGTAAGGATATTCAACCCTATTCCATTGGTTTGCATATCTGTCTTTGTTCTAATACCATGGTATTTTAGTTATTACTGCTTTGCAGTCCAGTTTGAAGTTGGGGAAGGTGATACCTCCCATCTTCCCCGCCCCCCCGCAAGAATTGGCCCCTATTATCTATTGTCTCTCTATTCCATGTATTATCAAATTCATTTTTATAATCATGCTGCCACTTTCATATAGAATGTCATCTCCTCATTCTCCTTCAATCATGTCTCCAGTAGCAGCTATTCATAGAATTGTTAACAATCTGGAAGTTGCTTTTCCCAGCCTTGAAATGTTTGTTATACTTTGTGGAAGCAACATCAGCTCTGGGGCCAGAAAGCCCACGTGCTGCTATTTACTGTTTTCCTGTGAACTTACTTACAAACACCCATGCACCTCAGTTAACCTTGCAAAATGGAGATAGTTATACCTACCTCGTGGAGATGTGATGTGGATGAAATGAGCTAATACATGGGAAGCACTTTGACTACTTTCTGCTTCTTGGAAAACATAAATCAGTTTCTATAATTATAGATGTGAGTAATCAACATTATTACCAAGATGTGTATTTTCCAGTCTAAATTTTACATTCAAATTCTAAACTGTTTTGAGATACAGTAGAATAAATACAAACTTTATAACTCAGCTCTTTTTTACTGGAGTCTACCGTGAGTTTCCAACCACTAAACAGATTCGGATGCCATGTCAACTTCCCTGGGTCTTGTTTTCTTCCGACGCAGTGGGCTGAGCACTGAGCTCTTTCAGTTCAAATAAATACCCAAGGACCAGAGTGATAGTACAGCAAGTAGGGACGCTTGCCTTGCACATGGCCGACCTGGGTTACATTCCCAGCACCTTATATGATCCCCCAAGCCTGCCAGCTGTGATCCCTGAGCACAGAGCCAGGTGTAAGCCCTGGACACTTTTGGTTGTGACCCCAGAACCAAAACAAAGCAAAAAAAACTATGCAAATGTTTAATAGACATCTCCAATTCAGATAAGTGGAAACCTTTGTATTCTACATGGACTCCCTGCCTATTGGTGAGACAATCCAATTATAGTAAAATACCTGTTAGCAGGCTTTGAAGTATTTTTGTTAATCATCAAATCCTACACCATCTTCTAATATTACTGATTTTACTGCCAAAACTGGGTAGTAAAACTCATTCTGAGCCCATCTATTTTTTTTTCCTATAGTCACTGTTAGAGCACTAATTGCTCTTGTCAAGTAATTTATTTATTTTTTGCTTTTTTGGGGTCACACCTGGTGATACTCGGAGCTACTCCTGGCTCTGCACTCAGGAATTACTCCTGGCAGTGCTCGGGGACCATATGGCATGCCAGTGATTGAACCATGGTCAGTCACATGCAAACCCAAGGCGAATCACTCCAACCCCTAGTCCAGTACTTTTTTGCCTCTACTTTTGCCAGAGAGTCTGCCTCCATTCTTGCCCCCTTTCAGTTTATTTTTCCATAGAGCCAAAGTGAAATTTAAAGCATAGTGTAATATTATTCTACTGCTTAAGGTTCTCCAGTGACTGTCATGGTACTTAGACTGAGCTGCAACACTCCTTTACCCCTTCATGCCTCTCTCTTCCGGTATATTTCCCTGAAGGGATATATTTTCTACTGGCCCGCCCGCAATTCATGTCTTCCTTAGGCCTTAGCACCTGGTCTTCTCCAGGCTTGAAACAGATATCTCCCAGCGGTCAGCATAACTTGCTTCTTCTCCTCATTTAGACCGCAGCCCCGTCTTAACTAAATGAACTCCCGAGCTCCATCACATCCCCTTATGGTTTGCCACTATCTTAAGGAAGTGTTCCCTGATTTCATTTCTGTCCCCCTCAGTAGAAATGAAGTGTCCTCATGTTGGGAACTATTTCTAGCGCAGAGTCTGGCATGGAGTAGACATGCAGGGAAAACAACCACAACAGCAAAAAGCAGACACCAAACTGGACTGACTTGATATGAAGGACTAAGGATTAACCCAGGTTTAATGAAATAAGAGCTTGTATTGATTACATGTGCTGGTTTTGTTTAATTAAGAGGATCTACTGTTTTTTCCTTTAGCAAAGCCCTCATGCAGTACGAACATTCCTGCACACACATATCCGTGTGCTGGATCTATGTATGACTAAATAGAGATAAATAGGCAAGTACAGGTATTTCCTCCCCCGTCCCCACAGCGAGTTATCAAACTTAACTATGTATTGCCCTACTCCTGAGTGTGAAGCACCATCTGCTCTGTTCTACAAGCTCAGTTTCTCTGTCTTTCCTCTCGTAAGTTCTTCACGATCACGACCATCCTGTTGTTCGTCGATTGCCTCGAGTAGGCCCCAGTTACGTCTCCTTCGTCCTAGCCCTGAGATTTTTTTTTTTTTAAAAGTGCCATATTCAAGGCTCTTTCAGGGTTAGGTGAATGAGACCCATCATTGTTACTGGTATTTGGCATATTGGGTACGCCACGGGGAGTTTGCCAGACTCTGCCATGTGGGCAGGTTACATTCGGTAGCCTGCTAGTTTGTCCAAAGTAGGAATGAGATAATAAGATGCTTCTGGGAACTGGGTTTTATAGTCTCTGGGCCTTGGCCGTTGATGGGATTACATGATGCCAAGGGGCCAGTTGGTGGGCGTGACCCCTGCCTACTGGAAGGTAGAGGATCAGGGTGGAGGATGCTCTCCTAAGTTCTTATGTCCAAGTAATTCTGTAAGTGCAGCCAGTGAGATTTTCAGTCCCTATTACCTGCTCTCTTAGAAGCCTGAACCTTAGTTTTTATTGTTCTCGGGATAAAAAAAAATAATAATAAAAAAAAAAACCTGCCCTGTTCACATCTCCAACGCAGACAGGCTGACACCTTAGCTGTGCAATGAATGAGCCAAACCCTTTTAGCCTGCACCCTGCCTCCCCCTAGTCCCTCTAGCCCCAGGCTGGGGGGGGGGGGGGTCAGCCTCTCCACCAGGGGTGCTGCACCCACCCGCCAGTTCTGCCCCCAGGAGCGTGCCCTTTCCTCGGGGAAGCTCTCTGTGGTTGGTCCGGCCCCCCTCCAGGGTCCCACGGAGCCAGCCAGCTCTCGTCTTATCGGCCCCAGACTCCGGGCACACAGAAAACTTCATCCCTCGCCCCTCCCTCCGCTCCTCCCTCCTTGCGGGGGGGGGGGAGGGAGCGCGTCGCAGCCGTGACGCGATCAGCAGGCGCCGCGGGGCGAGACCGCGCAGGGCGCCTGCGCGGAGGGGCACGCATGCGCAGGGCCGCGAGCCCGCTGACAGATTCGCGGCGGCGGCGGCGGCGGCCCGGGGCTGCAGGGCCGCAGGGCTGCAGGGCTGCAGGGCATGGCAGTGTTGGGTCTTTGATCGAGCACCGCGTCCGCCTCGCTGCGGCCCCGACATGGCTCAGGAGAAGATGGAGCTGGACCTGGAGCTGCCTCCGGGCGCGGGCGCGGGCGCGGACGCGGGCGGGGGCCCGGCGGAGGGGAGCTGCGGCGGCGGCGGCGGCGGCGGCGGCGGCGGCCCCCCGGGCGGCGGGGGGTCCACCCTGCGGAGGTCGAACAGCGCCCCCCTGATCCACGGCCTCAGTGACACTTCCCCCGTGTTCCAGGCCGAGGCGCCGAGCGCCCGGCGGAACAGCACGACGTTCCCGGGCCGCCACGGCCTGCTGCTGCCGGCCTCGCCGGTCCGCATGCACAGCAGCCGCCTGCACCAGATCAAGCAGGAGGAGGGCCTGGACCTCATCAACCGCGAGACGGTGCACGAGCGCGAGGTGCAGACGGCCATGCAGATCAGCCACTCGTGGGAGGAGAGCTTCAGCCTGAGCGACCACGACGCCGCCGCCGCCGCCGCCGAGAAGGCCGCCGCCTCGCCCAAGCGCGTCGACTTCGTGCCGGTGTCCCCCGCGCCCTCGCCCACCCGGGGCATCGGCAAGCAGTGCTTCTCGCCCTCGCTGCAGAGCTTCGTGAGTAGCAACGGGCTGCCGCCGAGCCCCATCCCCAGCCCGACCACGCGCTTCACGACGCGCCGCAGCCAGAGCCCCATCAACTGCATCCGGCCGAGCGTGCTGGGCCCCCTGAAAAGGAAAAGTGACCTGGAGCCCGAGTACCAGCCCAAGCGGTTCTTCCAGGGCATCACCAACATGCTGTCCTCGGACGCCGCCGCCGCCGCCGCCGCCGCCGACGGGCCGCAGCTGTCAGACCCGGGCGGGGGCGCGGCCGCGGCCGCGGCTGCGGCTGCGGCTGCGGTTGCGGCGGCGGCGGATCCCCTGGATGGCAACAGTAGCAGCGCGGGATCCGCGTGTAACTCGCCCGCCAAAGTCGTCGGCGCCGACTCGCCCGTGTCGCCTGCCCAGGCGGCCTCGCCCTTCATCCCAGTAGATGAACTTTCATCTAAGTGACACCCACCCTCCCACCCACCCATCCCCAGAGACTTGTTGGGTTTTATTTTTCCCTCCCTCCCACCCTAACCGCCGCCCCCCCCCCCGCCCCCCACTACGGAGGGGAAAAGGAAAAAAAAAATCAAGCTGGAGCAACAAAGCACTGAACTTGGTGGATTCGTTGGAGGCTTTTTCTCCCCTTTTGACCCCTTTCCCCCCACCCTTTTTTTTTTAAAAAAAAATTCTCTGAAATGTTGTTATCCTAGAGAACTTTTATGTCCGATTCCTGCAGATGCCCTTGAAGTTAGTGTAGTCCTATTTTCAGACTTTTTCAACCCCCCTCTCCTCCCCCCCCCATAAGTGTGTTGAAGCATACGACTTTACGCTGCTAATATGTCTAAATACATATGTTATCCCTTGATTTTTTTAAAAAATAATTGAGAGCTCTATTTATTTATGGGATTATTAATAAGTTCTGATGAAATATAAAATGTTGAATTAATCAGCATCGTAAACTGATGTTTTCAGATTTCGTATTTCGTGCCCACACTAATTTTTAATGTTTATTATCCGTGGTTGCTCATTTCTATCTGATGAACAGTACTTTATCTATTTTGCGTCTATTTTTAAAGTGATGTTTTAACGTATCAAGCCGGTGGTTGTCTGCGTTACCCAGGAATCCTTGGATATTAAGTTTTCTGGGTTACAGAGTGGATGGATGGGAGGAAAACAAAATGAAAAAAAAAAATAAAGTTTGCAACAAGTCTTTTTCAAATCAAGCATTTAGAAGTAAACATCTAAGAAAACTATTTTCTGATGAAAATAACTTTGTTAACGCATCAAATGTAACTACAGATAAGGTAGGGGCGTGGGGGTTGTTTGTTGTTTTTGTCAGAAAGTTAATTTTCTTGCTTATAATTCTAAACTGAAATGGGACAGTGCCTTGCAGTCTTAGCCCACTCTGTGCAGGCTGGGACCAGATTCTTTCTGCTGCTGCAAATTTAAAGCACAGTTCAAATGTAGAGAACTTATGGGAAGTCCTGTTGACTGTAAGCAAAACTCTTGGGCAAATAATTCTTTCTCAACCATCAGTTTACTCTAACTGCGCCTCAGTGGTAATCTTTACCAACAAGGAGCCCAAGCAGCTAACCAATGGTTGTTTTTTTGCTCTGCCCACTGCCACCCTCCGGGATTTCCCTGTTCAAGAAGGAAGCAGTTGTTCCCTTGCCAACAGGTTCTTCCTCTCCACCTCCCATCAAACTAGGGCATCATCAGTTAGAGAAAGGAACAGTGTGATTTGTATTTCTGACCGGGAGCAACAGGAGAACTGTGAGATGATTCAGGAAGTGCTGGTAAAAGCTACAACCGGAATTGACTGGGGGATGTCAGTTCATTAAGGGTCAGTGACTTGCAAGAGAAAAGTCAGTGGAGAGTCACCTAGGTAAATCATTTCACTTAGGTTTTCTTCAAGGTTTGAGTGTGACTTATTTTTCCCCCTTTGCCTTTTACACTTAAGAAAATAACTTTTAAAACTTAGACTTTCCTGTTATACCTCATATCTTCCTTACCCAGACCAAGAGGCAGAAAGGAGGAATAGGGTGAGGGTTGGGGATAAGGGCATTAAAAAAAGAGAGAGATCAAGAAAAAATAAAATCTGCCTTTCAAAGGGACTTTAATTACAATGTGGAATTTCTACAATTATGAGAATAAATGGAACTGGTCAACTTTGAGAGCTACCTGAAGAATTCATTGAGATAGCACCAAGGGTAAGATGGTGTGTGCAGGTTTACACACTCTGTTCTGGCTACTAGTGTTCGTGTGTTCGAGTCCTGATCTTGATTTTCAAATTCAAGCCTATTACATTTCGACTTTCCCACCTTAACCTGCTTCCAGCGGCCTTTGAAATCACTGTTTTCCAAACAAAATTCTTTCTCACTGAACCAGTTCTTGAGTTAAACTAGATCCATGTGATATTGATTTAGTTCTCGGAAGTAGAGGCCTCGAGAAGCACCTCCGACTTCCCTTTTCACTGTCACCTCCTTACTCACCAATCCCTCGAATTTTTAGATGCTTCTTAAGTCCCTCCCTCCTCTCTCTTCAGTGTCCCATTGTGGCTTCCGTTTTGCCTTTCTCAGTCTCCCATCTTTTTTCCCCTCCTTTGTAGCTGTTTTCACACTGCCACAAAAAGTGATCTTTCTAAAACATGAACTTAGTTTTTTACTTTTACTCTTTACTTTTACTCTTTACTTTTACTCTTTACTCTTGCTTGAGAATGTTCCCCCATTTCTTAAGATTTGCATTGCTTTTCTTTTTAATCTGAGGTATTAATAAGCTTCTTCATTAATTCACTCCTCTAAACCAGTTTTAATCTTCCCTTCATCCTGTCCCCAGTACACACCCTTCCTTCTTAATGCTGTAAATTCTGACAATTTTATATTCTCTAATATATGGTTTTTTTTTTTTTTTAACTTTTGAGTAGACTGTTTCTTTTCTCCAAATGCCATTCTAAATGTTAAAAAAATGTCACTCCTTTTCTCAGTCATTACCCATTATCCATTTCAGGCAAAAGCTTGCTTGACTTTTTTACTGCACATGAATTTTACTGTGAGGTAGTTTATACCTTCTGATTATCAAAATAATGAAATAGTGTAGGTATTTAATCTAGATGCCTACATAGGAAAATTTGTCTTCCCTTCCCATAAGTAATTTCTGTTAGTTGATTTAGTTTGCCCAATATCTGTTATTCTCCCTTTCCATGTACGGTTGTATATCTTAGGAAACCAACCTGTCATTCACATTTCTCTTCCTATCTTTCCTTCCACGTAATCGTTCCCCAGGTCTTGATGTTATCTGTCGGAATGGATCACCTTGCTCTGTCTCTTCAGCCACCCTCCTACAGGCTATCTTGGTCTCCTGATTGCCACCTGTTCCCTTCATATTCACTGCAATCAGCAACCCATTCCTTCTCCAGAGAACAGTGGGAGGGATCCTTTTCAAGTTGCAGATCGGACCCTTCCATCTACTTAAAGCATTTGATTGGCATCTTGTTGGTTGTTGGTAGATACCGAAATATCTTAAACCTGCTGGGGCAGCCCGGTGGAATCTAGCCCTTACTTCGTTCTTCCTTTGTTATGCCCCTCTTTAACTATATGTTCTTTCCTTTTTTAGATCCTTTCGCTAAATATTTCTTATCCTGGGGCTAGAGTGATAGCACAGTGGGTATGGCATTTGCCTTGCACATGGCCGACCTGGGTTCAATTCCCAGCATCCCATATGGTCCCCTGAACTACCGCCAGGAGTAATTCCTGAGTGCAGAGCCAGGAGTAACCCCTGTGCATCGCCAGGTGTGACCCAAAAAGCCAAAAAAAAAAATAAATATTTCTTATCCTTAAAGGTACTGAGAAATCCTTATTTCCATAAGCTTGTTTTTCTCCATAGACAGTGAGTTTTAAGAAACAGTAGGCATTTGTGTAGGTAATTTGCATTATCAAAACTTCATTTTTCTGTAGAGTGTAAGGGCTTAGCTCACTAAGAATTACTTTTGAGGTATTAATACTGCTGTGTATAAACTTGGTGGTAGAAATCCCAAAGCACATATCAACATTTAAGCTGAAAGTGTAGTTTGTACACCTAACAGACCTCTATGGCATATTTTACCTTATTATGTTTTGTTGAAATCATGTAAATGGGAAAAAAATAATCAGTCACCAAATCCATAAATATAGGGTGTTAAAACTGAAGCAAGCATTTTAAAATGATTGTAATCCAGAGTAGCCTATATCAGGTTGTCTTCGGTGATAAACATTATTCCAGCCGCTTTTGTATCTCATCAAGAGACCTCTCAAAATATTTGGCAGTAAAACGAGGAGAAAGGGTAAAGTCTTACGAGAGAAACAGGACTGAGTTGTTGTTTTTTTTTCCTTATGGCATGTCTAAGGACAGTTGCTAGAATGATGACTTAAGGGCTTGTGTGGCTTATGTTTCCCAGATTATGTCAGGGGATCGAAGGGAGTTGGCCTTAACAAGGAGGACTGGACGCATTATTCATTTTGAAATGGGAAAGAGATTGGAAAGTTCAAGATAGCAGTAAATGTTGAATTGATTTGCTGCTGCTGAACTTTAGAGGCATAAAGGAAGGAATAGAAAAAGTGGGAAGACGTGGTACTGAGAAAATTGCTATTTTCTAGTTACTGCAGGTCTAGGATATTTAAGGGGCAGGAGTAGGTCTGGAAGTGTGAGTGAAATGAAGAGTCAGTGTCACCTCTGTAGAAACTCTAAAGCAGTAACTGAAGGGTGAGTGTATAGTGTATAGTTTTTGAGTGATTTTGGCACCATAGTGGGTGCCAGATTGCCATTGGATTAGCAGATGTAAATGACGGAAGTTGGACTGACCTCAGTTTGGGAATTGGTTAAGTGGGTACAAGGTAAAAAGCCCAGGCGTGACGCAAATAAGGATTCTTCTGAAAGTGTGGTCAAAAGACCTTGGGGATAGTAGAGTCACCTTTTATGGGAAAGTCTTACTTTACAATCAGGCAGTACAAAGTATGCTGGCAGCCTGATTTCTGTAGAACTTGCAGTTTTGTTCAGATTTTTTTCAGGGCTATTTTTTTTTTAATTTTTTTGGCTGTTTTGTTCATGGAATCATTTCAAGTTCAGCAAGCTTTGAGTTCCATTTCTTTGGTTTTTAAAAAGTTCCGTCTTAGTAATCGTTGTGACCAAGACAAAACTCCTTATGCCTTTCTTGTTTTTCCTTCAAATAAAACATTTTCTTGGGTTGGAGACATAGTGGAGGGACCGAGGCACGTGGCTTATGTGATGAACTCATGTTTGATTCCTGCACTGCATAGGGCCCCCTGGGCACTGCCAGGACTGAGCCCTGTGCACTGCTAGGCATGTAGTGCCAGTTCGTGACCCCCATACTTTCCCTGTAAGAGTTGAAAGTGCTTGTGTCAAGCTCTGATCTCGATTCTTTTGTTTTCTTTTGGGACACAGTTCAGCAATGGTCAGGGCTTAGCCCTGGTTCTGTACTCAGAGATCGCTCTTGGTGGGCTCCAGTGCCCTATATGGTGCTGGAGATAAGCCAGACTGGCCACTTGCAAGGATAAGTGCCTTATCCATGGTACTATCGCTCCAGCCCCTCTGTTCCAGACGCTAAACAAATGTATTCTTTCATTCCGTTCTTGCTGATACCATCTGAGTGCTGTTATCCATGCTCGTCTTATAAATGAGGGAACAGAGGCAGATAGTTAAAGTAACTTGCTCAGGATTCCAGAAAGAACGAAGTAGGTAGTGTACTGTGATGGTGAGTAAGGATTGTGGTAAGGATTAAATGGATCGGTGTAGGTTAGATCTTCACAGCCTTGCCTGGCAATTTCTGCCCAAGAGTCAGCTCCTGTTGTCATGATGACGGTGGCAACTGTTGTCATTGGCATCTAGCATGAACTTGCTGAGGCATCTTCTCTCTGTCATTCTTGACTGCTGAAACCCATTCTTCCACTGTCAAAACAGTACCTTCTCTCCCTTCAAGGCAATTGAGATTTCATGAAGTAGACGTTTCCAATGTCCGTGTCTTTGTTCTAGGGAGAGACGCTTCCCTCTGTGACCTCCACCTTTTAATTCAAGTCCAGCTCTTGGGATAAGGCAGAACAGGGCTAGGGCAGGGCTCTCTGGGTTACAAGCCTTTTCTGGTCAGAAACACTGGTTCCTCTGTGCACAAACACGGGTTGCTCTCTTGGGTTTTGATTTTCAGAAACCCGGAACTGATTTTCCAGTGTACTCCCGCTGTGAAATAGGATTGGTATGACTTGGCAGCCAAAATGTTCATGATCGTGATTCCTTCAGTGCTGTTTGCCTTCCCCAGCAGGGAAGCAAAAGCGGATCTAATAACTAAAGCGTCATGGGAGGTGCACCTAATAATCAATACCAACATCTATTGTGTACGCGGTATTAGCGCCACACTGTTTGCAGAGATTCTCACGTATGAGCTTAGTCAATCCTCCTGACAGTCACTTCAGATAAGTGCTGTGCTCATTCCCATTTAACAGACGAGAAAACCAAGTATGCAAGGCCCTATAACTTTTTAATTTTTTCCATTTGAATTTGGGTCATTAAAAATTTTTTTAAACCAAGACTCTATGGTTTCTAATGCTATTAATGGTTTCTCATGCCCACAATTCCAGCACCGCATCTGTCACCATTGGACCTATTTCCCTCCCCCAGGGACTTCCCTCGCTAGCCCCCTCTACTCAATTGCGTGGATGGTTTTTGACTATTTCTTATAAACAGATGCCTTCTTCCCCATTTGAAAGGACGCCTTTGCTCTTTTTTTCCTCCCCATCTTGCAAAGTGCTGCCACTTCTATTTTTGAGTGGAATGATACATTTATTTTCAATGATGACTTTTGATATTAACTACCACTATGGAACCTATCAGAAGATTCCTTTTTAGAATAATATGTAAAAACATAAAGTGATATGCTTACTGTTTGAAACAAGAACCCCTCAAATAAATTTCAGATTGTTTTCTATGTAAGTGCTCTGCTCAGTCTGTTATACTTGGTCTCCCTCGCTTAGATTGTCACTTGGAAAGAAACAGTAATGGAAGTCCTTTTGGACTTCATTCTCCCCCAGCTAATGGATGACTTTTAAAGGAACGGTAACAGAAGTTTTAAAATATAATCCCCAATGCTTTACTACCTACAGAAATTACAAGAACACCATCTTTTTCCCCAAGAAACTTGTCCTCAGAAGACAGAGGTTTAAAATTAGAACAGTTGAGTAATCTGTACTGCACTGTACTGTCCTCCCGTTGTTCATCGATTTGCTCGAGCGGGCACCAGTACCATCT